TACAAATAAAACACGGAACAGTAGATACTTTTAGGTTAAAAAAAAAATGGGTTAAATATTGCTTTGTAAATTGAGTTGTAAATTTATCAAACAAATATCCGGGTAACATAACAGATGTGGGATCCCTGGATTGTTATAGGCGAAAGTTAAACTTACTCATCACCAGTCGATGAGTAAGTTTGGTATAAACAGGAGCTGCCTCATATGAGTCAACAAATGTTAATACATTTTCTGATATGTTCATATGTTAATTAATATGTTTCTCGATTCGCTAACGACTCTATCACATATTGTAATTGGTTTCACATATCTTTCTGATTATTTCAGCCTGTCGGAAGCTCTATTTAATTATTATGTAGGTTTCTCAATTAACGCCTTCATATACACATATCATAAATATACTGCCAACTAAATAAATTAATTGCGTTCAGTATTTCATTCATCTTAGTAAGTTTCATTCAAACTTTAATATTCATGGCATGTTTTGAATATGCAATCGTGTTGCACAGTATTCAGCTCTTCCTACCTACCGTGCAAGCTTTAATAATTGTAATAATTTTCATTCGAAATATATATTTCCTCACACATTCTCACGCCCACGGTGAAATAGATAACCATATCCGCACCATTAATAAATTTTGGACTATTCAAGAATGTTTTGAGAGATTTCATGTTACACTAATTATTTCTCATTTATTCTTTGTATTCTTGAATTATTCTAAATCATCCGTTCATGGAGGCTCTCTCAGTTCCACCCATCTAATACCCTCCATCAACTCGCCTCTCCCACCTAGTTTCTAAACTCCCCTAGAACTACTTTCCCATCTAAGAACCACCCTTTATCCAAGATCAACTCTCCCCTCCCTCTATCTACTCCATCCCAGCCATATTAACCCATTCACAACTATCCATCTATCCCGGCATCCCTCCCTGTTCCCTCCTACCTCGTATTCCTTAGATCCTTCCATCAAGCCTAGTATCCACCATCTTGAGGTTACCTTGAGATGATTTCGGGGCTTAGCGACTCCGTGAATTCACTGCCCCTCTGCTCAACCCTCAATCCGGTGTAACTTCAGCATCACTTTCTTGCTCAGCCAACGTCACTGCAGCTTCCTCATTCCTCCTTTCCCAGCTCTGCGCCTGTTCCTTCACCCTTCCCATCCTCTCCATCACATCCAGGAACATCCGGGGAAGCTTTTGTAGCCAGAATTTATTTTTTTCTACCCTGGAAAACCGTGAGGAAATTAAATGGACAAGAGGGGCGGTGAGTGGCCACATCTCAACACGTAACGAAGAAAAGGTGCGAAATGAGGATGCTAAGTGTGAAAGAAGTAACATACATGAAATCAGGCTGAAAGAACCAGTACACCAGTAGATTTCAGGTCGTGAACCTGCACCAAAGAGCTGAGACTCAACCTCTGTTGTCACAACTAAGTGAGTACAATAAAGTGGGTGCAATCCTAGTTGAGAGTAGATCACCTTTTCCTCCAACACAGAGATCAATTCACCATTTTCCCCTAACACAAAAATCAATACACTAGACTAGAGCTACTCCCAACCTCACTGTCAGGACAACAATCATAGCAAGAGGTCAGCAGCTGACAAACAATCACAGAATTATCTGCCTCTGCCTCCCCCCTTTCACCCCTGCTAAGCAGACACGCATCACACACACACCACACCACACACACACACACACACACACACACACACACACACACACACACACACACACACACACACACACCACACACAATATCCCCTCAAAACTGCACTGGCATTAAATGGATTTAATGCGCAAATGCATATATTAAAACATAACATTTTTTAAAACAAATATATGAATTAAAATATAATCGAGTTAATTTGAAAAGCGTGTTACCTAGTAGGGCACAACAATATATATATATATATATATTATATATATATATATATATATATATATATATAATATATATATATATCTAATATATATATATATATGTGTTGTGTGTGTGTGTGTGAGGGTACCACATCTGGTGTGCAAGTGTGTAAGTGTGTAAGTGTGCTAGTAGGCTGATGCCTACTTACATCAGCTGGCAGGTGTACACGATCCCAATTTCACACGCTGTGCCACAGAGTGGTCCTCTCGTGCAGGCCCATCACCTCAACCACCATCCCCAAAAGCCCACAAGCAATCCAGCTGGGATGGCTCCATTGTAGACCACGTTGCTGCAGAGTGCCTGGGTGCTGCAACAACACAACACGACATTGCTCGCCTCACAGCAGTAGCAGCCCCACATGCAGGGGATTTCCTGTTAGCAACCCCAATGTCGGCAATCCCAATGTATATCTATATGTATATATATATGCTGACTGGTGCAGACGGTCAGCCTTGATAGGTATACACAAGGCAGCCGAGGCTGCTGCCTTTCCAGCATTCGTGCCTTGATGCCAGGGAATCAGTAGAGCAGATTTTACCAGCGTAAATGAGAAACTTAATTGGGATTCTGGACCTGAAATTCAGTGAATTTGACAACTAGGGAAAACTATTGTGCATCTCTCCCCAGACTACTATCCCCAAACGATCATTGACAGGCTCACTAGCTCACTAGTCCCCAAATGGAAATGTGGGTTTATCAATGCTTGAAAATAAATCTGAGGTGAGTTAAGTCCGTCTTCTAGCGGAGAGAGAGCAACTCATGCTGGGGATTTTTTATTCGCCATCCGTATCTCAAGCCTGAGAACTCTGCTTACTCGCGATAGCCTTCGTATTGGTGTAGACCAAAGAGAGCCACAACTATGCTAACCCAAAGACACTTAAATGCCCCAAGATGGAATCAAAATGTTTTCCTGGAAGGATGGCATGCTGGTGGACTAAACACATGTGCTCGCTGCCCATTACCTACCCCATTACAGTGCAAATGAAGTGGGATACTCTTTTGGCGAAACGCTGAAAACCATCAAATACAGTGGACTTGTACATTGCTAGTTTAGTTCCCATTGGCTCGGAAATTCTTGGCTCTCGTGGTAAATGTGCACTTAAGTTCCTGAAAGCTCTGGGCGATAAACTAATTCGGGAAACGAAAGAGCAACAAGTTTCTTGTTCCGGCGCCTTAGTGTTGCAGTTGAGAGGGGGAAATAGGGCTTCCTGCTGCATCTTAGCCACGGATTCGGCCTCTGAGGAGGTCGAGAAGGGGTTTTAATTGTACGTGTCAAGATACTTTGTGATTTGCATGATATAATCCACAGTTTTTCCGTCACTTGTGTTTAGAGTGATGTTTAGAACCATCATAGGCTAACCTTGTGGTTAGCCTATGATGGTTCCTAGGATCAACGTTCCCGCGGTCCGGTCTCTGACCACGTTTCCGGGTTGGTGGCCTAGTCACTAGACTGTTAGATGCGGGTGCTTCCTCTGACGTATGATTCACAATCTGGTTGATCAGGCATCCTTTGAAGGTGTTTAGCGAGTTCTCTTTTGAACACCGTGAGAGATCACTAAGTTATGCCCTGATGTGAGGCTTCACAACATATAACTCAACTCTTGCAACCACATAAATAACAAAAATAACAATTAATTAGAGGAGTTAGGAGAAGAATGTGAATATTTCTTATATATATATATATATATATATATATATATATATATATATATATATATATATATATATATATATATATATATATATATATATATATGTCGTACCTAGTAGCCAGAACGCACTTCTAAGCCTACTATGCAAGGCCCGATTTGCCTAATAAGCCAAGTTTTCATGAATTAATATATTTTCTAAAAAAAAATTCTTATGAAATGATAAAGCTACCCATTTCATTATGTATGAGGTCAATTTTTTTTTATTGGAGTTAAAATTAACGTAGATATATAACCGAACCTAACCAACCCTACCTAACCTAACCTAACCTATCTTTGCAGGTTAGGTTAGGTTAGGTGGCCGAAAAAGTTAGGTTAGGTTAGGTTAGGTATGTTAGGTTGTCGAAAAATAATTAATTCATGAAAACTTGGCTTATAAGGCAAATCGGGCCTTGCATAGTAGGCTGAGAAGTGCGTTCTGGCTACTAGGTACGACATATATATATATATATATATATATATAAAATATATATATATATATATATATATATATATATATTATATATATATATATATATATATATATATATATATATATATATATATAAATGCGACAGGCAGCTAGATATTGCGGGAAACAGGCTAATGAGCCGCTGTGACTGGCATGTTGCGTCTTTAGCCAACACAATTAACATTCACGCTGTGTGCTGGGCCAAATTGGCCTTGCGGAATGCTGCTGTGTTTCCTTAAGAGGGTATATTGCGGGGGTATACTGGCCGCGTCTCCAGCCCCAAGATATGCTATGGCTACTGGGGGAGTATTGAATTGCAAAACTGTCGTAGGTTGAGTTCTCTAAGCTGTGATGGGAATAAAGTATTTTTTGTTTAATCTCTCCAGGTCTTTTGACCTCTCCTCTTGTCCCTTGCTGTCCATGATTGATGAATTTGGTAACATCTTTCTCTTACATTCTTTTTTTTTTCTGTCTGTCTGTCTCTCTCTGGAATGCTCTGAAGAGGGCATTTGGAATTTTTTAAGTTATTGCTCTCATGCTATAAGAATATATATATATATATATATATATATATATATATATATATATATATATATATATATATATATATATATATATTCTACATAACAATGTCTAAGTCAGCTCTGTGGCTCAGTCTCTCCCTCGTGCAAAGAAGAATCCAACGAATTCCTTCAAAGAATTTTTGTGGGAGGGGGAAGGGTTTGCCAAGCAGTCATCCTGGTGGGGCGTTTAGGAAGACAAATGGGACAGCAAGGATAACCCCCCTCCCCACCCAAGGCTCTCACGCCCGTCATAACTGGTGAAATATTGATGCATGTTTGCTCAGGGATGATTTAAGAACTGAAAATGTACCATCTCGCCTAACTAGCTTGTGGCGGAGGTGTCTGGTGATTTGTGATGGCCGTGATTGTGGTGGTGGATGGTAAAGGAGGTAACTATATGGAACTATATCCATATACACAACGAAATTACTATATGGTTATATATCTAGGAAAATATTAAAGTTGTTTAATCGGATGGAACACGCCGACGTATATTCTTTCTGCACAGGCGCTTCCGACTGGACCATGATGGGCTTACAACTCTCTCAGACACAGTTTTTGACTTGAATCCTCGTTGTAAGTCACGTCCAAGGGGCCCAATCACATGGATTGCTCGATACAGCGATGATCGTGATTCCTGCTGGGTCGGCGTTCGATCCCCGATGGTCTAAAAGGTTGGATATCGTTAATCCTTCACTCCATTCTCTTATCCCCGTTCCATATCCTCATATCCCTTGCAGGTACTATATAGAGTCATACCACCTTAGGGTTTTCTCCTCAAAATTCCCTTACAATACCAGATTATACCTTTTACAGCTTGTTCTATCGAGAGACAGATTGTAACCTGTCCTCAGGCTAGGCTCGTTCAACCGGCGGTCGACTCCAATGACACTTTCATGAATTTTAACATATTGGGTATTTCAAACATGTATTTTCTCAAATATAGTGTAATATCATTACAGGCTTGTGTTAAATAGTAAGGCCTAACTTTTGGCAAGTGGGTTTGGCTCTATTGGCAATTATTGGTATATGCAGCAGGTGGATGAAGCTTTCAGAGACGCGCTATTCGAACAGGGGGACGCGAACGAGGCACTGTTCGAACCTACACTTCATCAGTTTGAATCCTGTGTAAAGTGTTTTTTCATTCATAAACAGCGGGTTTGGCGATTCGATTAACGAGCATTTGGCCCATGTTGATGAGGTGATGAGGACGGATATAGCATCTACGGTCCTCGCAATCTCTTCTCCAAGCCGGCCGAGGCTCCCAGTCACCACGACATAAACCCGGCCACACTGCGTCACATCAGAGTCACCACGACATAAACCTGGCCACACTGCGTCACATCAGAGTCACCACGACACGGCCACGCTGCGTCACATCAGAGTCACCACGACATAAACCTGGCCACACTGCGTCACATCAGAGTCACCACGACACGGCCACGCTGCGTCACATCAGAGTCACCACGACATAAACCTGGCCACACTGCGTCACATCAGAGTCAGCACGACATAAACTCGGCCACACTGCGTCACATCAGAGTCACCACGACATAAACCCGGCCACACTGCGTCACATCAGAGTCACCACGACACGGCCACGCTGCGTCACATCAGAGTCACCACGACATAAACTCGGCCACACTGCGTCACATCAGAGTCAGCACGACATAAACTCGGCCACACTGCGTCACATCAGAGTCACCACGACATAAACCCGGCCACACTGCGTCACATCAGAGTCACCACGACACGGCCACACTGCGTCACATCAGAGTCACCGCGACACGGCCACACTGCGTCACATCAGAGTCACCGCGACACGGCCACACTGCGTCACATCAGAGTCACCACGACATAAACCCGGCCACACTGCGTCACATCAGAGTCACCGCGACACGGCCACACTGCGTCACATCAGAGTCACCACGACATAAACCCGGCCACACTGCGTCACATCAGAGTCACCACGACACGGCCACACTGCGTCACATCAGAGTCACCGCGACACGGCCACACTGCGTCACATCAGAGTCACCACGACACGGCCACACTGCGTCACATCAGAGTCACCACGACATAAACACGGCCACACTGCGTCACATCAGTCACCGCGACACGGCCACACTGCGTCACCACGACACGGCCACACTGCGTCACATCAGAGCTGGACTAAATGCATGAGCGTTGGACCTTAAGTGGCGGGATACAGCAAGTCGGAACAATGTGTTCTTATCTTGAGACTTAATGAAGATGTCTTGGAACACCGTGAGACGCTAGTCGGCTCCTTCCTCCACTCCCTAAAGGGCTGAGTCCTAACTCCTAAACACACCCACTAATAAATGAATGTATATATATATATTTATATATTATTTGCAATATCTACATCGTATATGTTACAAATTCTTAATGCAGAGAATAGCACAAATCTTTTCTCTCCAAGATTTAATCTTTGGCAATCCAGCTTCTCTGTTTCAATTATTTTTTTGTTATGTTTTATACATTTATCTTTGCCGTTGTTGGAGGTTCAAGTTCTTTATCTTTCTCCTTTCTCCTGAGCCTCGTGACGGCTCAGTTTTGGTACCTACTCTTCTTCACTGTATTTCTTTTGGTATCCGTTCACATGCTTAAGACTCCAGCTGGTACTCTCCCTTTCACTCTCCCTCACACTCTCTCTCTCACTCTCCCTCACTGCCTCTCTCACTCTCCCTCACTCTCCATCACATTTTACTCACAGTTGCTTTCTCCACAACCTCGTCACTCTCTGCAGCTTAGTTTTCTACCAAATGAGCAAAAATTCCATTTCTCATTGGAACTTTTGGACTTAAGGACTTAAATTTCATCTCTCTTAAGGAACTTTAAGATTTAATGAGACTTTAGGACTCATTGGAACTTTAGGAGTTAGATTTAACTTCAATACAGCTTGCTCTGGCAATGACGTTCAAGTAAACACGATTCATTTCGAGCTCAACTTCGAAAACGCATTTCGAACCACGAACCATCACATCTGAGATCTGTCCTGGAGATCTTACAACTTAGTGATTGCTAAAAGTGCTTCTAAAAGTGTTCCCACAGTTTTGGGATCTTCAAGTTCAAAAGGAATTTTACTTCACATACATGTAATTTTTATCACAATGTATGTTAGATAAACTCTGTTATCATCTAAACTCCTAATTCATTTACTTGTTTCTACATATAGGTTCGAGTTGTTTGACATGTGTGTCGTAAAGTTGCGTCACTTTCTTCTACTGTATCTCTTCCCCCCCCCCCCATATTCTCTCTCTTGTCTCCCCCTCTTTCTCTTTCTCAATCTCTCTCTTTCTCTCTCTCAATCTCTCTCTTTCTTTCTCTCAATCTCTCTCTTTCTCTCTCTCAATCTCTCTCTTTCTCTCTCTATCTTTTCTAAACTAAGACTAGAGTTCATTAGGGCTATCGATTGACGTACCTGGTGAAATTGCAAGCAAGAGCTGTAATGCTACCTCAGCTCAGTTGAAACCTGGTCTTAGAGACTAATTTATGACTTTATTATACATATACATAATGCTAGTTACATATTATTTAACCTTTAGTAACAATTATGTAAGGAACAGGATGAGCCTGTAGCCAACTGTGTGCCAGAGCCTTCATGTGATCAGTTGACCTGATCTACCGTGTATCAACCTGTTGAGTGAACAAGTTCCTCATGCGAATCAGTCTAGGAGTGAATGATCGCTGATGGAGCGATGTTGTTGAGAAAAGCAGTTCCAGCATCTTTCGCACGCTCTCTCTCTCTCTCTCTCTCTCTCTCTCTCTCTCTCTCTCTCTCTCTCTCTCTCTCTCTCTCTCTCTCTCTCTCTCTCTCTCTCTCTCCCACTCTTTGTTTTCCCCGGCACCTTTCATCTACAAATATTTAACAACTATATATGTTAAAATTTAATTGAACTCATTGATATTTTCCATTTTCAACGCTATGCACTGTTCAGTGTGAAACTTTCCATTAGCATTCATATACCCAAACATGCATACATACACTCACTCATATATTCGTATGTAATAACAGGAGTTTCATGCAGGACTTGTATTGGAATATGCTGGTATAATGTATAAAAAAAACTCAATATTGGAAATGCAGAAAAGGTGAAACATGTTTCAGGAACATTAAAAATGCTTTAGGAAATATACCGGATGAATTCAAAATATCAATTTGTTATTAGTTCGATATTTCAAATTGTATTTCGGGAGTTTTATGTATATCAAAATCTATCGGTGTTTTTAATGTACAGTTATATATGACATATTTTTAATTACTCAACAGTAAACAAATATTTTGTATATATTTTTAACTTTAAAACTGCCCAATGCCTAAATTTGTGTTACTGCAGAAATTATTACCTTTCTGCCACTTTCCTCTGTATCTTTTATTTTTTATTTTATTTTTCACAGGTGGGTACAGGAGTATATGTTTTCTGACTCCTGTTAGTAGAACTTTCCCTTCCATAGGTCATGGTAAGCCTTACCCTACTAGTTCCCCCGGACAATGTTAGTCAATCAGTTTTACTCTCAGGTCCCCAATTACGGCTGGGTGAACAGGGGCAAGCAGTAATGAATTGGCTCCAAGTCAATCCTCCCCGTTTTTCGAGTTTGTGTATCATGTGTTGAGTTTGTCTTGTGCCTGTGCGTGTGTATGTATATCTAACTATAAAGGCAGCTACTGACCATCTCCAAGAGGCAGCCCAAGAGAAACTGTCAAACTCCCAGGTACCTGTTTACTGCTACGTGAACAGGTGCATGAGGGTAAAGGAAACTGTCAATTTGTTTCTGCTCTATCCGAGACTCAAACCCGAGACTAACAGACGAAACCCGACACCACTGAACTGCGAAGCCCTCCACCGCCCTACCCTTCTCTCTCTCTCACTCTCACTCTCTCACACTCTCGTCTGCAATACAGTTAAAAAAATGTATGAAGGATTGCACAAACAATAATATCTTCAAATGAGCAACGGAAAAGAAAATATTTTACAGGGGAAAATTTCAGCTTTTTATATATATCATAAAAACGGAGAACGTAAAATTCATACACTATGCAAGACGCGAGCAGATCTCCTCAGGGAACGGAAACGACTTGTAAAGAACCTAACACTGATAACGTCACACGACCTAATAACTAGTGAACATTAACTGAGCCAACGTACCTACACCCAGGACAATGATGCTGTGGATCATGGGAGTCTGGAAAATTTAAGGATGCCACCACACTGCTTCTTATCAAAGGACTTGTGTTTTTCCGCCTTGAATATTCGTCGGTTATCACCTCTTATTTTCAAGGATAGATTTCTGAAATAGGAGGATTTCAGGGAATATACACAACACATCTGACCTCTGACCCACAGTATTATATATATATATATATATATATATATATATATATATATATATATATATATATATATATATATATATATATATATATATATATATATATATATATATATGGACTCTATCGACTGGGCCACGAACTAGCCACAATAAAGAAAGATTTCAGAAGCACCAAACTGCTGCTCAAACGGAAATTGAAGCCTTCCCTGCTACTTGAACACAGACGAATCAGGCAATCCACCCCCGAGTCATATAAATAGTCAACCATACCGTATAAAGTAACACTTCATTCACCAGAGCAATAGGAGCACTCGTCTCTCTTGCTAGAGGTCGCGAGTTCCAGGCTCCTATTACCCCTGTTCCAATAGAAGGTTCCACTGTCCATCAGCTGGGACTGATGGACAGTGGAAGCTCCCAACCAGCTTTGATGTCAATCGCAGCTGATGAAGCTTCATTATGACAGCATGGGGCCACACTATATACATGCAAGCTTCTCCAGTAATCAGTCCTTTGTTTTAACAAGCTTCAGTAATTAATTCCGAAGGCGGAACTTCAACCACTTGAGACTGACACACATAAAAAGCAATCAACAATAAAAAGAATCAAGCAAAGAAAGGAACAAAAATATTTTGGGGGTACTTACAACTCATCATCCGTATGAACGAGATTGAATCGACTTTAATCTCGCTAATTATAAACGATTATGTGTGTTTGGTAGGAAAATGGCAGTTAATAATGGCTTTAAATAGGGAGTAATGACGTCAGGTAACGAGCGCTGATGAGGGGATAATTAGCACCAGCCCGAGTGACAAAGTGGACCCTGTGTTCAGCCTATGTTATGTTTAGCTAATATTTACTGACGCGCTAAACTTGTTTATGCAGAGAGATGTAAGTTGGTGTTTATACTGAGGTTTACTACACACACACACACACACACACACACACACACACACCCACACCCTATAACAGCATGCTAAATACCCCTACCCAGAGAAGGTCATTTAAAGGAGACATTCACTACACCATCACCCCTTTAATGAAACACCATCACCATCACCACTATCCAAAACTCCAGCGCTCTCCTGAGATAAAACACCAACACTAGAGACTCAGTAAAGAGCTCCAGACCGCAAACTCAAAACTGAGTTCCAGACTGCAGACATGAAATGAAATTCTAGACCGAAAACACATTATACAACTCCAGACCGAAGACTCAAAATAAACAAAAGTCCCTAAATAATGAACTAGAAGGGATTTCTTTACGACAACGAGAGATTTCGGTAAGAAAAAAACTCAATTGTAATAATTTTTTTTACAGAGGTGGAGGTTATGTGATGTGCACTGACAAGGGGGTGGGTGGGGTTGGTACACTTACAAATGGTACAATGTCTAGGGTACACTGACAGGAGGTGATTATCTCAGGTACACTTATGAGTCCTAGAAGCAGCAGTGTAGATGCAAGGAACATTTTCAGCCGGTACACCGTGTTCCCTGAATGTTCCCTGCTAACATATATACATGTATATACACATTCACACACAGACACACACTTGCGTGTGCAAGTGTGTGTGTGTGTGTGTGTGTGTGTGTGTGTGTGTGTGTGTGTGTGTGTGTGTGTGTGTGTGTGTGTGTGTGTGTGTGTGTGTGTATGTGTGTGTGTGTGTGTGTGTGTGTCTACAATGTGTGTGTGCAGTATACATATTTAAATAAATCTTATATATATATATATATATATATATATATATATATATATATATATATATATATATATATATATATATATATTACACACAATGGCAGCCTTTTCTGTTTGTCACATCAATACCTCC